TTCTATGTTATGAAAAGTGACATGTTAATGGCAGGAAAGGGAGAACGATTAGGTGATGGGAGCATTGTCTCAGCCGATGTCCTCCTCCAGGAAGGAACCACAACCAAACAGAATGAAACATCAGGTGTTTCTATGGAGAAAAAAAAAAGTTAAATAAAATAATAGCAAATAATGTAATTTGGAGAGTATCAAAAGAAGAAAATGAGGAACAGTGGTCAATTTTCCTTCAGAAGCCCAAGAGCCTGTGGCAGCATAACTACAGAAATAACTCAGGATAACCGAAGGCCTAGAATGAGGCATGAGAAAAGTATAAACAGACTTTTGTCTGACTGGGCCGTACACTCTATCTCCATTCAGTTGGGTAAACATTGCTATTTAAACTACAAACTTTATCAAAACGCAAAGTTTTAAGCCTCATTTTAAAAGTACACTGTGTCTGCCTTATAAACCGATAAAACTGGGATCTGGTTCCTCAGGAGAGGAGCCTGATCACTAAGGATCTGCCTCCCATTCTACTGTTAGAACCTCAAGGAACCAGCAGTAAACCTGCTTAAGGACCAATCAGATCTCTGTATGACACAGGTGATTATTAAGGACTTTATATGTGAGAAGGAGAGTCTTAAATTCGATCCTGGGTTTAACAGGAAGCCAATGAAGAGAAGCAAATAGGTGAAATATGATCTCTGTTTTAATTTTCAGAACTCTTGCTGCAGCATTTTGGATCAGCTGAAGGCTTTTAACTGCATTTTGTGAACTTCCTGACAGTAAAGAATTATAGTAGTCCAGCCTTGAAGTAACACATTCATGGACTAGTTTTTAGCATCACTCCTGAATAGAATATTTCTAATTTTAGCAGCAATATTCATTTTTAAACCAGCCTTCTGCTTTTCCCTCGATACCTATGTGTTAAAGCTGTTCTAAGCACTAGCGGAATAAGTCAGCGTTGGGCCAGGGGCGGGGCTAATTATCAAGCCCTTTATACCCAAATATTAAAGCTCATGATAATATAACTTTGCATCATAGACATGTCTGCAACAGCAGGGCTTACAAGCTTCGGCACCATATAGAGCAAATACGTCATTCTGTAATCCATCAAACAGTCATGAAGTACAACAAACCAAGAGAAGAACAGAAACATCAGGCTACTGGTCACTAATGACGAAACAACACATTCAAAGCAGTTCTGAACCACGGATAGCGATCAGATCATTTTGACATTTTATCAATTTAAACTCAGAGCCTAGCCACTGCTGAAGCTAGGTTTATTATTGACATGTTGAACCAGGTACGCAGCAGCACACACCGACCCCTCCGCACGCACATTGTGTCACAGCGCAGGGGCACCACCAGGAATCTCAGGCCCCATGACAAAAAGTAAAATTGGGCTCCTCCTGCCCAGCTGCTATTACAGTTTCTTGAGTCTACCTGACCCATCAAAACGTCACAATTTTAAAGGCTTGCAACTGCCCTGCTTTCTTTGGTCCAATACTGATACTAGCACAATATTTACTGCTAGTGAATTGTACATGCAACAGTCCGCATACAGTACGCAAATAGGTTGCTTAAATTTTTATTTATCATTTCAGTTTTAGCTTACTGAAATATCTCTTATTACGCGATGAACATTTTTAAAGCTTACTAACCCTTTTTAAAACCTTTTGACTCGTTATATCGTCTCTTATACCTGGATTCAGAAAAAGTTGTGCGCAAAGACTGAGATCACGCAGAGATAACAGCGTCACAATAATCAGCATTTATTCAAGACAGATGCATACTATCACCAGAAAAGCACATCACAAAACATCAGAAACCTCAGAGCACAAACACATGAAACTACCTGAGAGAGGGAAAAAGACAAAACATGGAAACGACAAACAAAAAGCAAAGACGTCTTTGGAGAATTGCAAAAGCAAATCTGGTTTGTTCCTCACGTGCACAAATTTTTATAGTAAAGGCGTATTCTTCTCTTTAATTTATTCAAATAAGGCATATCTTTGCTCATCCAACCAGGAGCTGTCTCGGACCCTCTTAAAAGTTAGAAACTCCCTACAATTTGTTTTCAAGATCAGACATCAGTTGTCTCCCTTATCTAAACAAAGTGGAAGCAGAGCTTCTCCTCCACTGGCCTGAACTGAACTCATGCTGTTTTATGGCTTTTCACAGATCAGTGTGAAAGCTGGAACTTCTCCTGATTCTTTCCCACACAGACAAAGGGCAGATCAAAAGATCTAGCAGGCAATCTGCTGTAACTACAGGTAACATAAAGGTCAATAGGGCAGAATAAGTTATTAATCTGAAAACTATAATTAGGCTATTTCAATCAAGACATGTTAACAACTAGGAGAGATTACAAATTAGATTATGTGTTTTACAGATATTCTATGTTGCATTCAGTTTTACACCAGCTATTTAAATCTTATCAAGATGGTAAAAAGGTTAAACTCACACAAACAGCCACGACCCCCTGTGGATGCCTGCTCAGTCCACAGAGAGGTTAAGAACTGTGTTTTAAATTATAGAAAACTAAAACTAAACTATTTTAATTCAACTTATTGTGTTATATTTAACATAAACATCCTACAAATGAGATGCCTACTGGACCATGGAGGCAATTTAGAACCAAATGTTCTTATTTTAAAACACTGTTAATTTTATATAATATTGTACATGTGGTTAAGTTTTAAAACTAGCATATTTTAAATTTATTTTCTTAACACTCTCCCCACCAGCAACAGTCATAGGCAACGTGCAAAATATACATAGCAATCCTGACTTCTCAAAAATCTTATGTCGTTGCATTTTGTTCAAGCTGCAGCATATAACTGAAATAAAAAAAAAGTTTTTTTTTTTTCATATTTGTTAAAGCTGTCACCATGTTGTGACAGTTTGCTATGAGACAGATAATCAGTGAAAAGATCAATCTCCTCCACCTGCTCCCTGAACTATTATTGCTGGCTAAGGTAATGTAACGTTCAGGCCAAAATCAACCAACCAATCAGAACCAGGAGGAGGGTCTTAGTGTTAATAAACCTCATTCATTCACTGCTAAATGTGCTAATGATTGGAGAAACAACTTATTATTACAGGAAAACTGTTTATCTGCTGTCATTGGTAGCAATACTAACTAATTTGAGCATTTACAACAGGCTATGCTAGTTGCACCATAGCACAGAGTGAGGAGGGCAAGGGAAGGATGAGCAGCCACGAGATTGTGATTGACATTGCTAAAACCCGCCTCCTGCCACTCATTGGTTGTTTTTACATAGTACTGGGAGAAGGCAGAGGAGTTTAATTTTCTCTCATAGATTATCTCTCATACCATACTGTCACAACATATTGACAGTTCTAACAAATATGTTAAAAAATATTTTTTATAAAAGTTAAATACTGCAGCCTTAATATACTTATATGGTTATTTAACTTATATGGTTTTATATATATGGCATGGTGGTTAGAGCTGCTGCTGACTGACTCATCTGTTAAGTGTGATAAAAGGTACAGGGGCAAGTTAAATATATGATTTTTTTTCCCCATCCTTTCCACTTTGCTGCTTCATGGAGCTCCACTCATGATAACTTAGTCCGTAAAAATGCTCTACCTAGTTTGCCATCTGTAGCCAAGTGACTGATGACGTTGGTGGACGGCTGGTGACAAGTTTTACCCAAAATACACTATGGGCTATCCACTTGTAAATTTGCGTGTCATAAAGTTAAATGTAAGAGTGAAAATAAAGCCAGTAATGTAAGCACAACATTTAATTCAATATTTTACAGTACAGTCAGTCTTGTAAAGTTTTTAGCAACCATGAGTCAACTTGGATCCTTGAAATCTTATTCTGCCTCCCATTTAGCCCCGTGCCGGGAGCTCCTTCCATGGTTTTAAGAGAATATTATGGTTGACTGTTTCAACTGCAGGTCTGAGATCTAGCAAAACCAGAACAGAAGTCCACCTTGGCTTCATTATCTGAAGCCAAGAGAATATCATTTATAACTTTCAGAAGTGCTGTTTCAGTGCTATAATGAGCCCAGAAGCCTCACTGAAACTCTTCAACTGATTTTTACCGTTTGATAGAGACCAGGGTCTACCACACCAACCTAGATTCAAGCTGAAAGCAGGAAGCTCTCAGGCAAAAAAATGCACAGACTACCATGAGCAATAGCCTGGAACGGTGAACAGAAACATCTGTGCTGAGTGTGGTACAAATGTCCCTGTAAGATGGGTTCTGTTTTTGTAAGATTCTTTTATTAAGTAGGGAATGTTAGCACACCAACATTCTGCTTCAACAGTGTTATCACTGACTGTTTACCATGTGTTTGCAGTGTAATCTAAATCCATTCTCTGTTTGTAGTAAAATGGAGAACATTCTGGGTTTCATAAACCACCGGACCTGTATCAGAGAGGCTGTCCTCCTTCAGCACTATTTGTCTGCATTCTGGTGGGCTAAAGATGCCAAGTTTAGCCCCACACAGATCTCTTTCACCATGGCTGTACTCCATATACTGCTGGGAAATCTAAGAGGTGGGAAATGCAGAATGTTGGTTCTTCAAGCTGATGAGTTGTGTTGTATCCACACTTCTAACACTGACATTTTTTTGTAAGAAAGAAAAAGGTCTGGTAGACTTACAGTTTATTTGTGCTTTGCCTTCCTCCCTCAGAAAAACAGATGAGTTCAGTGGATAATATGGTGGTGTTCATGAAAGCCATGACTGCTGCCTGCCACTGTGCTCCTTCTGAAGAACATGGCACTTCACTTTTGAACAATAATGAAGCCAAAGCACTGATATGCTATGTAACAAAAAGGTAAGCCTGACCAAGTCAGTCAAATTCAAATTCAAAGATACTTTATTGATCCCAAAGGGAAATTAAATAATTCAGTTGATCACCAAACTTTAAAGAACTTGGGCTCTAACCACATCACCGCCATATTTATGATTTCTAGTAATAGTCACAACAGTTTCAGAACTTTAACATAAACTATTTCTGTAGAGCAGTGATGTCAGGAATGAAGTCTTTAAGGTTGAGAATGAACCAGAAGGTACACAGTGACGTAGCATCTTGCTTTTAATTTTCTTTAGTCGGAACATGAGCAGGTCAGCACTCGGAGCGACACTGATATCCATACATGAAACCCTGACAAGAATCCTGCAACACACATGGACACAACTCAAAAAAAGTGAGGGGAATAACTAATTAGCGGAGACAGGTGACACACCAGGGCTAAATCAACAGGGAACACTGGAGAATAACTTAGGTCAAAATAAACCCTGACATCTGGCAGGAAGCATATAAGAAACAAACAAAAAAAACCCCACAACATACTGAAATCATGACAGAACCCCCCACCGCCCCCACACACACACACACACACACACAATGGCGGATGCCAGACGCCCCAAAACATAACCCCACTCCTCAAGAAAAGAAAACCCCAGTCCTAAAGGCCTATAAATTAGGGATCCCCAGAGGAAGCGAGAGAACAAACTCAAAAACAACCCAACACTGGCAGGGAAGGGTGGGGTATGAGGGGTGGGAGGAGGGGGGGGGGAGAGCTTTATGGAGCAGAAAATCAAAACCAAAGTCAACTGGGCAGCCAATAAATATTCACCCAACAGTCCAAAGGCTGGACGGCCGACCAGGCAGATCCAGCAGACCACCATGCACACATGACCGGGAGCCCGAAGCACATCTGGAGGGCGACTGGAGGGCCGCAGCATTCCTTCACACCTACACAGGAGCCTTCTACGACCCCAAACTGGGGACCAAAGGCGACAAAGCCAACGGCCATGGAGACCCCTCGTTGCAGGCCGCCAGCGAGGTCCTAGGACCCCTATGGTTTCTGATAGGGCTGCGACCCCCGGAGCTGGAGCAGGCAGATCCTCTGGAACAACAGACAGGACCACCGGGCCAGGATCACACAGATTTTCTGGGACAACAGACAGGCTGAACACCTCCAACAGAAAACCATAAAAGAATCCCACAAGGAGCTTTACAGCAACCCCAACGCCTCGTGGCTCTGCACCCCGACCCTCGCGGGAACTGTGGGGAACAGGTGAGGGTAATAACTAATTAGCGGAGATGGTTCACACACCAGGGCTAAATTAATGGGGAACACTGGAGGATAACTTGGGTCAAAATAAACCTTGACATCTGACAGGAAGTATATAAGAAACAAACAAACAAACAAAAAAGAAAAAACACAACATACTGACATCATGACAAGTGATGCCCAGGGGTGGAAATCCCAGGGAGGTTTAGGGAGGGTCCGGACCCACCCCGATCTTGGAGAAGTGTAGAATTGTCCCCCCGAAAAAAATCATAGAAATAATCTTTGTATTTAAACAATATCAATATAAAAAGGTGAAAGAAACAAATAAATCTGCCATTCATCAAAGAAAAAAATAAAAATACATCTTTACGTCCACCCCCGCCATTGTTAGAACAATGGTTCAGTCCAAAGTGAAGGAGAAGCAACAGCAGAGTGGCACAGGCTCCCAGAGCTGATGAAGAGAGGAACCATCTGTGGCTCTGTGGCTCTAACCTTATAATGCCACCAGTTAAATAAATACTTAAAGCAAAAGACAACACATTTTATTTACTTTCACTGCTCAATAGGAAGAAACACATTAACAATAAAAATCAGACTGCAGTTCGTTATTTCATTACTTTGGCTGAATCATGATGAACTGCCTTGTTATGCCTTGGAAATCAAAATTAGCAAAACTGACTGCACTGGTTTGATGGACTTTTATTGAAGGTAGCAAATATCTCAATTATATTTAGCTCTTTAACTCTTACATTAATGAAAAGAGTTTGAAACAAGAGGGGCTCAGTGCTACAACTAGCTGACAACTCCGTGTGTGGGAGCCGAGAGCAGAGAGACGGAGCAGATAGAAAAACAGAAAAGAGGTGTCTTTATTTCTTACCATCTTCAACATAGAGCCTCTAAAACCACACACACAAAATCTGGATATTTTTCTATAAAAACCCTGGTGCTTTGAGCGCTCAATTTAAGATATATTTCCCAGATATGCATTATTTCTACCTAATTATATATTAAGTCAGGGGTGCCCAAACTTTTTGAGAGCAAGATCTACTTTTTCTCTCACCAGCCACCTGAGATCTACCTCATGACACATAAATTGCAAATTAAACTCTATTGACTTATTTTATATGTGAATATACATCAGTTATAGCCAAATTCTTGGGGGTACTATGACAAAAAAAAATTATACACATATATATTCCTTCTTTGTGTGCTTTGGAGTTTCT